CGCACTTCACTTTTCATGGTATCATAAAATGTTAATTTTCAGATCCCCCTGGTGTTCACATGCATACAAATACACACACAAAGCAAAGTGCTCGCTGGGCAATCTGCAACTCTGCAGTCACTTTGCATTAAATAAACGTTTCCTCAGGTTTCCTTATCACCGTTCTCTGTCCATGTGGGAGCTGCCAGGGCCCGCACTCCCGACATCTGCACTCCATTAATCACGCAGCCCCATTGTTCCTGGTCCTCCGTGGTGCGGCTGCCTCGCTGCCCTCCACCCACAAGCCTCCCCACGGTCCTCTCTGCCACAGCAGGGGCGCCCCTGCCTTGCCCTCCCCCCACTCCCCAAACACTGCACGGCCTGGGCGAAGTGATGCTGATTCCCTGTGTCACGGAGGCAGTGGACCATCCCCGTAATGGAAACAAAGCAATCCCAGCACGAGCTGAATTGAAGGCAGAGGGTCCCTGAGAAGAAAGCCACTCCTCCGGCGGATCGATTGGTTGTCCTGATTGCTTTCTGGTGGCAAACACCACCAGCACTCCCGGCCAGTGGCCATCTCTCTTTCCCTGCAAACATGCACTTCCCTCGGGACCGAAGGGGCTGCTGCCCAGCAGGCACTGGCTGGTTAGCTGGGGTGGAGGAGGCAGAGACTATTCAGAGGTCGTAACTCAGCAGCCTTTTTGGTCGACAGCCACATCCATAGATCCAGTGATGTATTAATTCATTAGTTTTTTTAAAATTTATTGATTTGAGAGAGGAAGAGGTGGGGTGGGAGAGAGAGAGAGAAAAACACCGATTTGTTGTTCTGCTTATTCACTGGTTGTCCATTCACTGGTGGTCTCTTGTATGTGCTCTGACCAGGGATCAAACCCACAACCTTGGCATAGCAGGATGACGCGCTAACCAACTGAGAGCTACCCAGCCAGGGCCTATTAATTCAATTTTGAAATGACAAATTGATGCTCACTTAAAAAAATTTACTGGTCACTTATTCTACATGCAAGGTATTGTTTGATCACAGAGATGAAATAGCAAACGAGAGAGACGCCGGTGCATGTGTGCTCCAGGTTCCCTCCTGGGGCCCCCAGGCGGTCGGGAGGCCTCCCGTGCATCTGTGGATCCGCTTTGGCAGTGGACTCGTTGTCAGTCAGTGGACTAGGCTGTTGGGAAGCCAGCGCTCACCCACTGATCTGAATGACCTCCTTTGTCATTTTGGTCTTAGCCTGATTTGGCTGCCTTAAGTCAGGGCTGGCTGAAGCATGGTATACCTCTCCTGTCAGTCGAGAGGATCACTAGCTAATCACAATACTCCTTCCTGCAGAGCTTGATGTGACTTCAGAATCCTGCTTAACCCAATGCTCCAGGCCACAATGGCCAAACACCTGGAGACAGCTCATTTAAGGTAAAGCATGAAACCACTTTACAGGCCCTGTCTGGGTTTCCTTCTCATTCTGAAACCTGAATGGCTCAGGTTTGACACCAGATACACCCAGACTCTTGGGGTCCTTTGGCTCTGCTTCCTGCAGGTGCATCCCCACAGGACTGGCCCTGAGGACAGCCTTGCTCTGAGTGTTCAGCTGAGCCTTGTTTTCTAAAATAGCAATTGTCCTGAAGATGGTCCCACATATGGTAGAAAAGGTTCAGTCTTAAATCACCAAAGATTCGCCACTCTGCACGCAGCTCTTTCCCAAGACAACATGTTCTCCTGGGTTTCAGGAGCTTTTCTGCAGGGAGGCTTGTTTGTTGAGCTCCATTTTGGTAGGTGTGGGTGGGCCCAGAAGATGCCTTCAGCTCCGTCTGTGTGCTTTTCAACAGAAGCACCAAGCTTAGGTTACAGGATTTCCTTTCAACAGGGCTGGGGGTGGGGGGAAACTGGGCAGGAATCATAATTAGGTTGGGAAAAGGAAACTCCATAAAACTACTCATGGCCCCAAAGGGCCCCTGACTGTCCACGGCCACCCACCTTCACCAGCAGGGTAGCCCTTCTTCCCTGGCGGCCTTTCTTCTGTGAATGATCTGATTCACAAGGGTGTCGCTTGCTCACCTTCAGGGCTCCCACACCGCACAGTGTCTTGGGTCCCGATCTGGCTGTGGTGCTAAGGGCCATCCTGCACACCGTCGCCTGTGACCGCAGCCCACGGCCTCTTCAGAGTCCCTAGAAACCAGGGGACTCTGGGATTTTTCCTGCCTCCTGATTAAAAGCGGGTTTTGGTTTGGAGACCTACCTTTCCACCAGTGTCTGACACAAATTATGCCTTCTCCACAGAGGACAATGTTCTTCTGAGGGCTTCCATGGAAACCTTGTCTTAACATAACCCAGTAGTCCTGGTGTTCACAGAGGAGGAAACGTGGACAGTCACAGGGCAGGTGGGGGGGTCCCTGCCATCACAGGAACCATCACCGCAGTGCCACAGAGGACGAGGGCTTGAATTCTGGCAAAGGCCATGCCAGAATTGGGCTCGGGTGTGGAGTTGGATGAGTAGGTCGGATATGAGACCCGGCCAGCACAGAGCAGATTTCAGCCACTTGGTGGGGATGATGGAGTCACTAGTGGCCACCGTGAGTTTGACTCAGGTACCTGGGGGGATGGGGGTGCGTTTACTGCACTGGGGGCTCAGGAGGAGCTGGAGGTCATCCGGGGAGAAAAGTGATTTTGGTGCAGTATCTTTTGACTCTGAAATGCCTGTGGGACATCCAAGAGATGACTGACTGACTTTTAGTTTTCTTTAGTTCTGCTCACAAAATTTAGAGAGCAGCCCCGTTCTGTCCGGAGCTGTTGCTTCCCCTTTGGTCCCTCGGCTGGGTTCTCACCAGCCCCTTGCCCTCAGGCAACGGAGAAGCCAGCAGCCCAGCAGCCCAGCCTGCTGGGGGCTGCAGGGCAGGCTCTTAACACAGCGGGGCTCTTCAGATTTTCAGAGACCGACAGTCCCCGGTCTGCCACCTGCCAGCATCTGTTCACGGAGACACAGCATCACAGACTCTCCGGACTGAAAGGGACGTTAGAGGTCACCCGTTACAGCATTACAGCTTCAGGGTTGGCATTTTCAGGTTGTTCTAATAATTCCAGAGTTCCTCCTTCTATTATGAGGAAGACCATTTCTTCTGACTTCCCTTAACTTGCTGGTGAAGGCAGAGTCCCGCTGGGGGCCTGCTTCGTGAGGAGGAGCGTGGGTCTAACTCGGAGGGCCGCCACGGGGCTGGATCTGGGAACACAAGTTTTTTCGTCCTTCACACCACGGCTATGAGAATGGTCTCCATGGTTACAGCAGCTTCCTAGAGGTGTCTAGATTTTCATTTTCTGTATTTCCCTAAATGTCCAATTTATGAATAATCTGTTTAAGGAAGCCTGCTGGAAAGTTTCTGCATGAATATGAATATCAAGAAATAGGTATTTATGTATTCAAAACAACAAGAAAAGTACGGTGTTAGGCATTTTTGTGTGGATTTTCTTTTTCATCCCACTAACAACAGAAATTAGGATTGACTTTAAAATTTGGAGGTTAAACAAGATTCAATGAAAGGAACTGCCTTGGCGTTCTTCAAAGGCCTGTGAGCCCGCGTGGGGCTGGAGCTAACCTAATTATGTTTTCTTTAATGTGTAATAGCTGTTTGCCTGACCTGCCATTTGCATCTTGCCATGGCATCCAAATGGCTGGGGCATTGATTTTTTCCCCCCTGGGGGCTTCCTTTGAACATTAAAGTGTTTCTTCTTGTGTGTTTTTCCTTCTTTTGTGAGAGCAGTGATAAGAATGGATCGATAATTACATTGTTGGATAAAAATGAATATAAATTTTATTGGAAAACAACACCCGCAACAATGTGGGAAAAGCTCACCCAGCAGCCACCGGCCCCCACAACTCAGTGCTCGCGTTGTGAGGAGCGATCACCTCTTAAGCTGTCCCACTGCTCGCTCCAAAGGAAAAGAAAGGATGGAACGCAGATAAACTGAGCTGTGACACGGGCGCACCACCTCCGAACACGCTGCCAATGGCAAAGGCCGAGGCGGTACCTCGGACCCTGGCGAGCGAGTGGGTTTCCAGACGAACCGGTTTGGGGAGAGCCTTAGCTCCTGCAGTTAGCGTGGCTCCTGACATCTCAGACCACCGGGGAAACGTTTCCACTTTCCAAACCCTTGGAGAAGAGGATTTCACAAAACTTTCTTGGCAACTCGCTCCTCCTGCTTAACAACAGGAAATGATTCTTTATGTCTAGCCTAAATCCTTCATGCTTCAGTTCTTCTATTTATTTCCCTTCAATCTCGGCAGGCTGTGTGTGCAGAGTTTGTCCTGGTGGGACAATGTAACATATGGGGAACGCACAATGCTTATAATCAGACTGAAAACGGAGTCCAGCTGTGCCGGTGCCGCTTCCCAAACAAGCTGAAAAGGAGTAAATTGCAGTTGCGGTTGTGGAGCCGAATTTGCTCCAGCACCCTTCCTCCCTTCGGAACCACCACACCCTTCCTTCCTTCCTTCTGCCTGTGGCCTGACGGCTGGCCATCCCGGGACTTGCCTCCGCGTTGGATCAGCTTCGATCCCTCACCGGCGTAGTACGGAGTATGGTCAAAACAGTCCCGTCCAGGCCTACGCCCAGTGTTACGGACCAAGCACACCCAAATCCTATTACATTCCGTGTTTTCTCTCCAGGCAGCCCCCCAGGCTCGCTTCACAGCTTATGCGTGGCAAAAATGTGCTCGGTGTACACACGAGGAAGCACTGAGAAGCCACGAGAGAGCACCAAGTGAATTTAACATAAACATCTCAGCAGCATTTTTTCAAATTCTGCAGAAAAACCCGGGCGGTAGTAGGTTCAGCCTCACGGAGGTGTGCAGCGACGGCAGTTCTGCAACTCGGACACCAGGGGGCGCCCGTGCCATTCCACCGGCCGCTGGGACTAGAGTGGACCAGGAAACAAAGATGGGGTTTTGAATAAAAGACTTCAAAATGCAACCCCAAATTCTACCCTGAGCAGTGTGCGTGTAAAAATTCATAAGTATGGGATTTCATTTTATATAATTTTACTTCAGTGGAAAGAAATATAGGTGATTTTCTGACTGTGTCTACAGCTGTCTTTAGGAAGCGGGTGGGGTGCCTGTTCAAATGATGAGGGAGAGGCACAGGATGCTCTGCAGGCACTTTGAGAGGCCGACCTCTGTCTCCGCGTCTCCGGACAGCTCCTATTTTGCTGGGCGGTGTCCTCTGCATGCTCCACAATATATTGATTAAGTATATTGTTTTTAAAAGATGCGTGTCCTTCTCAGCAGAAGGCAGCCCGCTCAGGGTCCAGTGAATGACATGCGTCATTGAAGGCACTTATTATTTTGATGAAACAGCACATTTCTTTCAGCCCATAAAATCAAAGGTGTGAGAAAAGGCTGTGTTCAGGGTGTAAAAACTCCCCTTGTTTCCCTGTCAGGGTGCACAGCGGTTCCTCCTCTGGGGCTTTTGTGCGTTTTCCCGGCAAGCGACACGGTGCTGAATGCCGGGTGGCAGAGCCTGCCAGAAGGCACTGGACACAGGCCGGGGCAGCTCCGCACCACCACGGGGGCATTGCCCTGGAGTTCCAGGGCCTTAGCCTGGTGAGGGACGGGCACTGTGGCAACATTGCTCTGGGCCAGGTTCGTGCTGGGGGAGCAGTCGTGTCCTTCGGGGAGGTAGCCCAGGGTTGTGATGGATTCAAGTGCTGGGAGCCTGGACCTTTGGGCAGGCCTAGATGAAGAGACTGCTGCCCCCCCACCCTGAGCTCTGGGGTGACAGGGGCAGGGCCCTCTTGGTTCCTTCTGTAGCCCCAGCATGTAGAACAGTGCCTGGTGCTTATTAAATGCCCCATGAACACTGGTTAAATATATAAATGTGAGCATGAAGGCAGAGGCTGTGAGGATTCCTGGTAGGCCCTGGCTGTAGCTGAGCCTGGGGGCAACTGGAGTAGCCGTGGGGGGAGAGTCTTGGCAGTGTGGGCCCTCGGGGGTTGGGGGCACTGAGATAGGCAGGGGCTACAGAGCTGGAGAAGCCAGGAGGTCAGCAGGGACCACCTTGTTGGCGTTGAGTCTGCCACGCATGGCATTCTCCATCCTCCCCTCTTCAGCTAGCCTTTCCACTGTTGCCATGGCAACGCCTGCCCGAGGTGCTGCTGAGGGCCAGCTGGGCAGTTGAAGCTTTTCAGTCCTGAGCAAGCAAGGGACTCTGAACTGTCCCCACAGAAGGTGGGACCCCAAGGATCTCTCTTGTCAGAGAAAGGGAGGAAGGGAGATGGGATAGGGGCATGCACAAAAACTGCTCCCAGGGCTGGCTGAGGTCCCCCCAGCTGGGGCTTTGCTGGCGGGGACTCCCGGGGGCCTGGAGAGCCCTGTTTCATGAAAGTCTCCCTGGCATTGCAGTGTTGCACTGCTCTCTCACCTGGCCTCCCTGCCCAGGTCTGGATTTAGGGTCATCAACAAGGCTCCCAAGGGCTGGCAGGCCTCTTGAGGCTCCCTGGGCAGGAGAGCCACAACTGATCCAGCGGTCTGCAGGTTCCCCTCAGAGCAGATTCGGAGGTCTCATCCTGCAGACTCTGCCATCTCAGGACTGAGATGCACTCGGCCCTGTGCAGGACTGCCATCTCAGGGTGCCTCGACTCAGGACACCCAAGAGAGGGCACTGGCTTATCTCTGCTTTGCAGTCTCCTCGTACTTGCTCTGTTGCCACATTTCCAGTATGCGCAGGGATTGTGGGGGCCACCAGCCTCTAGCCAGTGTGTGTGGGGGCGCTAGCTTCCTCTTCACACCCACTTTTCCCCCCTGGAGGCTCTCGAAGAGCAAGAAGCACCTAATGAAGAGGCAGCAGGAATGCGGAAGACATGGGTCTGGAGAAAAAGTGATAGTCCAACCTTCCCTGGGGTGCAGGGCGGGTGAGAAACACTGGGACGCTCCTGAGAAGGGGCTCTGTAATTCAGGGTGACTCAGCCTTGTGAATCACGTCCCTCTGGGGCCCCGAGGAGAATTCACCGCTCACCATTGCGTGAAGAGCTCTCAGCCTGGGCAACACCCTGCTTTCCCACATCAAGCCTATAACAACAACAACAGTGTTAATACGAGAAGGGGGCGTCTGGGCGGGGTGTACAGTTTACAATACCTTGGATTTACATAGCACCTTTTTCTTCTAATGGGCCTTTGCCTCTGTCCCCTCAGCCATCACCACAATGGAGCGAAGCCACCAGAACACAAGCATCACAGCTCCTGCGGCAAAGCAGGGAGACGGAGGCAGAGGCCTAGAAGGGGTTTCATGCAGACGCAGTGGTGTCCAGGGCTCGCTGCACTTCCCAAGGGCCCTCCCTGGGGGGCGCCGGGCGCAGCCCTCACTGGCCGTTCACTTTGTATTTCAGGATGTAGGAATAGAAGCTGTGGTTGGCGTTCTCCAGCACCATGACGTAGACTTCTTGGCAGCCGGCTGTGCTGCAGCTGCCCTCCCAGTAGCCTTCGCCGTTCAGGGTCAGGGGCCACGTGTCCTGCCCCTTCACCAGGGCTTTGGCGACACCGTGCAGCTTCAACTTGAATGGGACATTCCGGTTGGCAGGAAGCACACCGGACAGAGGCTCCAGCAGCTCATTGTCCTGCCCCCAGTTGCCAAAGCTCTCGGGGAACATGGGCCAGTTCACCTTGGTGTTGGAGCAGCACAGCAGATAATTGAAGACAAAGACATAGTTGCCTGGTTCCTGCCTCTTCTTGACGAAGATCTTGAGGGCAAACTTGCCGGCACGGGGCAGCTGGACTTTCAGCTCTATCCGCTTCTCCCGGTGCAGCTGGAAGATGTAGCGCCGCTGTGTCTCCTCGGTGACGAGGCCATCGTCTCCGTGCAGGGAGGCCAGGATGCTGATGCCCTCCTCCACGCCGAAGCTGATGGAGCAGCGCCCGTCAGTGGTGTGGATGATGGGGTCGGGGTGGGACGGCTTCACGATGCCCATCTGCTCCGAGAACCAGCTGGGGCCCACGGGCTGGTGCAGCTCGGCGGGCAGCCGGATGCCCAGGTCCACGTAGTTACACTTGATTGTGTACTCCAGCACCGAGCTGTAGATGTCAGAGTTGCCTTTGGCAAAGATCTGTAGCTTGTGGGTGCCCATGGTGGGAGGGTAGACGTCCAGCTTCATCCCATTCTTCTGGAGGCTCAGCAGCCCATGCTCCTGCTTGCCATTGAGCATGAACATGAACAGCGTCGGGGCACAGCTCTCTATGGTGATCGTGGCCTTCCCGTTGACTGTGGAGAGAAAGCCAAGGTCAGGTGAAGTGGCTTCAGCCTGGGATAGTGTGCTGCGCGGTGTGTAACAACTGGCTCTCTGGGTGAGAAAGCCCTAACTTGTAGTGTGAATACTTTCACCACGATTGATTTCAAGCAGCCAGTGTGACGTCACCGGACAGGACCAGCTGCAACACACCACTGGAATGTCCCCTGCCCCCTTTAGGTGGTTCTCTTTGAGGGAGCTGAATGAAAGCTGGGATCTCAAGAAAACAACCTGCCCCCAGCGGAACATGCTCAGCTCTCTGCACATTGGATGAAGGTGCAGGAGGCCCAGCCTGGCTTCAGAGCAGGGCGGGGCCCAGCAGTGAGGGGGCGGGGGCCCCCTGCTGGAGCCAGGCTGTGACCCACTCCTCCAAGTTGTGAGCCTTGCTTTCACACTGCTCCCTCCAGCATCTATCCGTTACAGTGTCAACAGCTGTCACGTCCACATAGTACCTTAAAAACTGTTTGGAATGGCTTCACTCCTGGGGACTGTGCCCCATGGTGGGGCACCCCTTGCTCCACCCCGCCCCCATGCTTCCCTCATGGGTACCTCTCTGTTGTGTTTGTGGACCGGAGGGTCTGTGGGTGCACAGGAGGGTCTTTGGTGTCCACCCTCCCTCTGCCTCTCCCTGTACCCTCCAGTTTTGTCCTCCTTCTTCCTGGGCAAGACTTCCCATTGAATCTGCCATGAGGCTGCCTGACTCCAGGCTGTTCAGCCACTGCGTTCAGTGCCAACTCCAAACTTGGGCACGGGACTCCCACACAGGCAGCGGAACAGGGATGGGAGCTCAGTGTCCCCATCTCCACCATCTTCACAGGGCTCCTCCACCTGGAAAACCTTCCCCGCACCTCGGGCACTGCCAACTCCTCATCTACCTTGACTCCCAAACCCGTCCCCACTGCGCTTCCCCTCCACCCGTTTGCTGTCTGAAATCTGGCCTCTGTCTCCGCTCTCCAAAGTCTTCAGTGACTTTTCCTGCAGAATCTAGCCTGCAGGCCAGGCCGGTCTGGAAGTGCTCTCCCCGCCCTGCGTCTGCTGCGCTCTGCAGCCCGGCCCTCTGCCCATGCCTCTGACTGCCACCGGATCTCTGTGGTTATTCCTTCCCTTTCCGTCATGCTAATTGTGGGTTCTTTGTGCTTTTGTGCTATTTTCTTTGTCTATTTTCTTTATCCATGGCATTCAACATCTGTGGGACATCTGTCCCCAGATAACCTCCGAGGAAAGAGACCGAGAATACTAGACTTGTTATCCTCCTTCAGTGGAAACCCTCTCCCTTCACTTCCTCTTCTAAACCAGCTCAGCGGGCAGAGCTGTCTCAGCCCTCAGCTGCTCTCGGCCCGTCCTGGTCCACCTGACACCTGAGTTGGTTGTGAGGGGCCCACACAATTCACGTTGCATGTGTGGAACACTAGTGCCTGCGCACAGCAGCCTGAGGGCTCCTGTGAAAATATCCTCCCTGCCACCCTGGGCTCTTTTCTGTGGTCACCGTCACACTGGAGACCAGTGGAGAAGCCTGTCCCCTTCTGCTTTGCCAGCCCAGAGGAATTCTTCTCGGTTGGGGGAGGGGGGCACAGGACGTTCTCTCACAGCCTCCAGGGGCGCTCCCCTTCACACCCCCGGACCCTCTCACCTGCTGTTCCTCCCCCCCTTCCCCAAACCTGGAGAAGGCCTGACTGCAGAGAAGCCTTTCCAGGCTTCTCAGATGGGCTGAGCGTCCTGGAGGCCTCTCTCCTGTCCTGTGTCCCTTTCAGGGAACTTAGTGCTGCTGTCGCAAATTTGGTTTTCAAAGATTTCGATTTATTTATTTTTAGAGAGAGGGGAAGGGAGGAAAACAGCAGTTGGTTGCCTCTTGCACATCCACAACTGGGAACCTGGCACACAACCCAGGCACGTGCTGTGGCTGGGAAGTGAACTCAACCTTTGGGTTGGTAGGTCAGTGCTCAACCGACCGAGCCACACCAGTCAGGGCACGACTTCGTTCTGTGTAATGTCCGTCCCCTCTGCTGGGTGTGGGCACTGTGGCGAAGGGGCCCACCGGCCTTCTTTCCTGCCTTGTCCCCATGCCCCGCCCAGAGGGTTCTTGGCAAAGGTGAGTGGCACGCTGGGAAGGCTTGAAATAAAGGGCTGGGAGGCCTGCCGACTGTGGGAGGCTGTGACCCCTCTGCGCCCTTTCTCCCCCTCCTGCCCTCACCCCTCCTCGGCTCTCTCCTGCTCTCTGCTCTCAGGGGCTCCCCCCCATTGTCCTGTGCCCTCTGTCTTCTTCCCTGCATTTGTGTGCCTCAGTTTCTGTCTTCTGCTTCCTTCCCATCCCTACTCTTACCATAGCTAACTCCAACCAAGAGATAGTCTTTAAATATGCATCACAAATATGCATCAAATTTTAGACTACCACCTATTACAGGACCCGGTGTTCACAGGTCTGTGTTGCTTGAAAAGGCAAATTCACCTCCGGGGCCCTCGCTGGATGCTGGTGCACCTGGTGCATCTTTCTCTGCAGCTCCACGGCCCGCCCACCGCAGACGATGGGCTCCCATGTGACGAGGCCCGAGGCAGCCAAGGCCATCCGGCCTCAAGCTTGGGAAAGGCCTTCGTTCCCCAAGAGAGCGGCTTTGCGCTGTTGTTATAACAACAGGAGCCACCAGGTATTTGTAGTTTAAAAAACTATGCCAGAATTCAGCCTGGTTCAGGGAGCCTTGGTGAGGCAGGAGGGATGAGGCAGCTGGAACGAATGTGGGGCACCCAGGTGCCCCGTTCACCCGCGGACTCTGGGCCCAGCGCCAGGCCACCCTGTGTCAACACTCATGGGAACTCAGGCCTCATCTCCTGAGAGCGCACAGCACCCAGGTGGCAGGGGAGGTGTGGACCGGCGGGCAGTCCTTTGCTGAGGTGTGGGAGGGCTGGCCAGGCTGTGTGGAGCCCTGGGGCACATCCAGCCATGTCCCCAGCCCAGGACCAGGCACAAGGGCCGTAGAGGTGCAAGACAGTCAGTCATCTGGAGACAGTCCTTCGGGGCCCATGACCTGGGTCCCTGGAGCTGGCCCCCCGCCTGCCTCATAGTGTGCAGACGCACCCAGCTGGCTGCCTGTGTGACCCTGTGGGGACGTGGGCAGCAAATGTGACCCCAGGCCAGCCATGGGGACAGCTCAGCTTGGGGTCCCCCACTGCCCAGATCCAGGGAAGCCGGAGGGAAAAGTCTGGATTGTGTGCCCAGGAGGGAGGGAGGTGGAGCAGAGGCCGGCAGAGCCAACAGGCGTCGGGGCACCGCGGAGGCCGCGCTGCCCCCTGGAGCCTGGCCCAGTCTCGTCGGGGTGCTTGAGCTCGGAGGCTCCTGGAACCCGTCCGTCCCCATGGACCACGGTGCCTGCTCTACTCCAGCTCCCAAGACCCTCAGAACGCCTGTCCCGCCGAGTCCTGGGAGACCCCTGCCATCCCCAGCTGCTTGGCTGGACCACTGACACACAGATGGTGACTCAACACACGCTCTCTGCCGGGGGTTTGAGAAGAGAGCACAGCAGGGCCGTCAGCTTCAGTCAGGCACCCAGACTGGGGGGCAGCTCGGTTGAGGCTGAGGTGGTCCCATCTGCTGTGTGAGCTGAGCGAGGCTCCACCAGCCCGGGGAACTCAGCTCTGGCCCCCTGTCAGGCTGAGCTGCGAGTGCAGCCCTGGGCAGGAAAACCCACAGACGTCCTCCACACCCCCTTCTTGGTTCACTTGAGTGTGACCATGGACTTGACAGTCTCGGCTGCCTCTCTAGCCCCTGAATGGCCCTACACATACAGCTTACACTGGGCTCACGGGCCCTGGAAGGACAGTCCCACGGGGGCCCAGATGCCGAGAGGCACTGCCCCTGCTGCCGGTGCCCTGGCCGCCGGTCCCCAGCCCGGGGTTACCTGTTCTGATCATGGGAGTCTCCGGGTGGGCACTCAGCATCCCCTTGTTGTAGAATTCACTCTTGTGATACATGTTGTTCTCGAACTGCCTCAGGGATTGAGGAGGTTTAAGCAGTTGCCAGTTCTTGTTGTCTGGGAAGTGGTCCTCGATGAACAGGGCGGGATGGGTCAGGAAGTAGAATTCATTGTAGCTGGAGCAGAGAAGAGCTGGTCAGCAGTGCTTGGGGTGAGCAGGGCCAGTGCTGTGGAGGGGCAGGCGGCGCCTCGCGGGGGGATCTGTGGCACCTGCTTTGGGCTAACGCACCTACAGGAGGGGGTCCCACCGATGCCCCGAAAGGGAATAAGCACCATCTCCTCTACTGGAGACCACCCCTCAGGGTCTACGTCCAGAAACAGGAGCCAAGGCAGGGTCTGAGGCCCCTCCTTAGAGAAGGCCACAACCCGCAACCGTGTCCGGGGAGAATGAGCTCCCCTGTTCTCAAAGCCAGAGACCCGAGGGGAGCAAGCGTGACCCTGGGACCAGGCGCCAGGCAGTGGAGGGGAGGGAGGGAGGGAGGGAGGGAGGGAGGGAGGGAGAGTGCTTAGCGGGCCGGCTCCATCGCCCCCGCTGGTCCCCATACCCGAGCAGGCGTGTGGGGAGACCACAGGTGGCTCTCCAGGGGTCAGGGACGGCGATCAGGAAGAAAATGGAGAGACTCGTCTGTGTTGGGAAGGGGAGGCCTCGCTCGGCCCTGTGAAGGGAGCGGCGCCGGAGCGGACAGAGGCACGGGGGCATTTGAGCACACGGGCCCGCGTGGGTATGTGTTCACGTGCTCGCACTTGCCCTGTGTGCAGGGCCGTCAGTCTTTAAACTTGAAACATCGGAGACAACGCTCGTTTTTCTGATAGATTGGAGCTGCTGGTGGACATCATAATCCACAGCGAATGTCCCGGCCTTAGCTAAAGGCTGGGGTTGGCCAGAGCGCAGAGGGCAGTCATGCTCCAGGCCCCTGCACCCCGGTGCGGTGCAGTGACTGGACACCAACAGCACCCCTTCCTGCAAAACCCTAACCCCTGCCTCAGACATGTGGTAAGGCTGCACTCAGCCCAGGGAGCAGGGGGGAGCCTTGGGGTCTGGGGGAAGCAGAGGAGAGAATTCTGGTTTCTATGAATCCTGAAACAGTGTTGGGCCAAAAGCCTGCAGGAACCCACCGGTAGGTAAAGAGGGACCTCAGCCCCGCCTTTCTCCTAAGTGGCCCTGGGGCAATTGCTGGAGGCTTCTAGCATTTGGGTGGAGGGAGTAATGGGGAGCCAGAGGAGGGACTTTGTCAGTAGAGGGTGAGGTGACAAAAAGTTCTGGGCCCTTGGAACTGGCCAGCAGCCAGATCAGTTGGGAGCCTGAGGACCGGTGGGAGCGGCCAGCATCAGGCCGAGGCCGCCCTGGCTCCCCTGCCCTTCTGCCGTTGCCTTCAGCCTTGGATCTTCCCCGTTTCCACCAACCAGACGCCCAGCAGGACTGAGACTCGTACTTACAGGAAGGTGAATTTGGAGGTGCTGGTGTCCATCAGGCCGCTGCCCCAGGTGCTGTCCAGCAGGTGCCATCTCCCTTCCAGGTACACGGCATTCCAGGCATGGTCAAACTCGCCAGAGAAGCTCTGCCCTGTCTGGTAGCCAAAGCCCTTGGAGTAGCCTGGCACGGTCATGCACTGCACTCCAGCGATTCTGGGGGCGGGATGGGGGTCTGAGAGGCGGCCCCACTGGGCCGCAAACCCCTCGAGCCTGTCTGTCAATGGCCCCAGGCCTCAGGGGTATCTGCTGTCCATGAGTCCCTTGGTCTCTCTTTTCCCTTACTTCACACAGAGCACACACACACACATACACACACAGCCTGAGGGCTTTTATCTCCGGGATGGGGGGGGGGGGGACAGGGACGCAGGGCCAGTCGGTCCTGCTGCCTGTTCCCTATTCAAGACTAGAATCTCTGCCCAGAGCCGCCTGGTGCTCGCCGGCAGCTCCTCATGAGGACAATGAGCGCTGCGGTGAGGATTGCCTCATGGATGTGGGGACCAGGGAAATGGCGACATTCTTGAGGAACCAGAACAGGTCTAAACACGTGCGTAACTGAGGAGGTGGGTCCAGGTCACGTGGGTGGGGTGTCAGGGAGGTGTGCTGGAAGCCAGGGTGTGGAAGAAAGCTGAGCCCTGCTCCCCAGATTCATCCTGCCCAAGGACCTTTGTGTGGGGTCCCCAGGGGCAGGCCAGACTATGTCTGCAGTCCTGACCTGGGGGACAGACCCACTGCCGGGATCGTTCTGGTCTGACTGCCGGGGCCATGCCAGTGCACTAAGGTCACCTGCTGACGGGTTGCCCTGGCCACAGCTCTGGAATCCCCTTTAGGTGTCCTTCGGGATGTGGAGCGCTGATCAGTCTTGTCCAGGTGCTTGGGGCCTTTGGTGATGCACTGCCCAGAGCTCACAACCAAGCTGGCCACTCTTTCTGGGGCTGGGACAGTAGGGGGTGGGCACTGGCTGCATCTGGGAACTACGGAAATCATCAGCCTGGGCCTCAGATCTGAGGCCCAGATCTGAGTGGTGGGCACCACCCCAAGGCCAAGCAAGAGCCCCGCAAGTCCTGTGATGGTCAGCTGGCTCTCCTCTTCAGGGTCCAGCCCACCATGGCAGCCGAGGGGCAGACCACTAGTGTCACTAAGGGGATGCCCTGTGCTAGCCCATCTGGGGCCTTTGTGTGAATTAGAAAAAAATTGCCCCTTTTCAAGACACTTTTTAGCCCTGGCTAGTATAGCTCAGTGGATTGAGTGCCAGGCTGTGAACTGAAAGGTAGCTGGTTGCTGGTTCAATTCCCAGCCAGGGCACATGCCTGGGTTGTGGGCTGGGTCCCCAGTTGGAGGTGTGAGAGTCAACCACACACTGATGTTTCTCTCCTTCTTTTTCTCCCTCCCTTCCCCTTTCTCTAAAATAAATACATAAAATCTTTTTAAAAAATGCATTGTTTGATAGAATCTGTTTTTTAAAAAGACACGCCTTTTGCTTGTGGACTATTGGTATAATAAATGCACAGATCTATGCTACCCAGGGTATGCATGGTGACCCCTCAGAGGGGCGCCCTGGAGCACAGGGACCGTCCAGGCTGCCCGCCACCCTCTGCAGCAGCACTGGCCCCAGGCTCCACTCAGACTGATTCTGCCCTCCGGTGTCACCAGACCTGGTTCACAGAGGAGGCCTGGGTGGCAGGGGTCCTTCCGTGGACCAGGTCTGCTGTCTCAGTTGCTCTAAGCGAGAGCGCCATGGAGCCTCTCAGGTACTGGGGTGATATGGCTACACAGTCGCTATGGGAATGGGGCACATTTCCTCGCTAGAAATGAATGTTTAATTAACAATTAGCAGAACATTGCATTAAGTAATACTTATCTATAGTACATTATATCATTCATTGAGACCATCAACGAGCCAAGATGTGGAGCCCGCAGATTGCCGCATTCCACCTGCGTGTGCTGCTTCACCTGCACCGGATGACCGGGCTCATCTCCGTCCTCCACCTGAACTTCCTTCCCCTGCAGGGTGCTCTGCAAGGCTCCTGGTGGGCTTGGCTCCCCCTCAGCCTGCCCTTCACCCCCTCCCTGTGCTTCTGCCTGCAGCCTTTGAAAAGTAAGTCCAGGCCTTCTAGGCCATCTGAGGGAACAGATGGCCAGCTGGGCTCCGTGAGAAGGAATTCGGGGGCACGTGGGAGACGGAGGGCGCAGAAAGCAAGAGAAACTGAACCCTGAAGTCTAGATTTACTGCTGGTAAAGATCAAAACCAACTCTCAGAGCAGAAGGGGTGCCTCAGAGGTTGGAGGCCCAGGAGACAGGGGGAGAAAGGGCGAGGCAGGGTAGGAGCCCCTGGTGGGTGGGTGGGGGGAGAAAGCAGAGCAGACACACCTGGAGAGCCCCTGCCTCCTATGGCTGCAACGCTGCAGAGGAGGGGGCTGAGGGGATGCAGGGCCGAGGGGCCTTGTTCTCAGGATGAGGAGATCCGAACATGGTCAGGGTCTTAGAGAAAACAGCCAGCGAGAGGGGAGGGTCAAAAGCAAGGCCAGAGGGGTGGGCTGGAGGGATGGGTGGGGGTTGGGCCTCAGCAGGTGGGGTCCGTGTACTCTGAGTGGGAGGAGCAGAAATGTGAAAAACATTTAGTGAGGTAAGAAATACTGCTGAAGCGATGCTAATTGACAAGAGCCTACAGAATTGTGCCGTCAGCCCATTATGTGTGTGTGAATTCACGGAGGACAGAGACAGGGGGAGGGGGATGGGGGGGACGGGGGAGAGAGAAAGAGAGAGCAAAAGTCACCTGGTTGTTGGTAATAGGGTTATAGGTGACTTACACTTTCTTTGAACGTCTCTATATTTTCTAAATTTTCAATAATGGTTATGTGTTACCTTCGGGGTGGGAAAAGTTCATACATACTGCTTGAAATTTCTTTGGTGAATTAGTTTCCTTTCCCGCCCAGAGCGTCTGTGCAGACGGCTGTCTAGCACAGTGTGGGGGGGGGGGATGGGGAGCAGGGCCCGTTTGGCTGTCAGGTGACCTGGGTGGAGCCGCGCCCCTCTGGACACGCTGCCCCCTGATGCTTGTGCTCTGCCCCGAGCCACCTGGAGCCAGGGAAGAGGGAGAAGCTCTACATGGAAATGGAGCCAGCGCTGATGTGGGCGGCACGGCCGGCTCACACTGGGCCGAGTGTCCTCCTAGGTGAAGCCGTGTCCTCAGGCTGTGTGTTATGGGTACCTCCCTGTGGGAGGGGAGGAAGTGGAGGTAAGATCTGAAAACCTGCGCAGGCTTGGGCAGGGGGTCTCCACTCGGGGGTGCTCCAGGATGAGTGGACAGTCACTGGGCTGAGCCAGGAGATCACAGCTCTACTCCCAGCCCTAAGAGTCACCTCTAGCGTGACCTTGGCAGGCTTCTCCTGGGCGAAAAAAAAAAGCTGGCATGAAATGATCTCTAGGGGTTGAGTCTCCTCTGGCAGGCTGAGGAGAAGGTAGGAGGGCTGTGGGGAATGCCGGGGGCAGAATAAAGATGAGAAAATAAATCCAGCTATAAGTTTATGCCGTGCTTGACTATGATATGAGGATATTTTATTACCTGGCAGCAACGTGCAAGATGAATTGGACAAAGCAGTCATAATGTAGAGCATTCTTGTTAACATCCCATGAATCTCATGCAAAATTGTAGAACTAGTGATCCCAGCTCCTGGTAGCTAGTCAGGGTAACCCATGACCATTTTATGCCATCAAAAGTCACTGACTGTATATACTATGAGCAAAGCACTGTACCAGGCCCAGGGAATTACATCATATCATCATATCATATCATATCATATCATATATCATAAATATTGTAATGTAATAAAATATATTTCCAAAAATCAAGCTCACTGGCTGCCCTAAATGTGCTCATAGTTGGAAGAGGGGCAGATATGTAAACTGTCACTAAAATGTTGGGGACAAACATAGCCTTGGGAAATGCAAAGGAGGAGGAATTTGCTGGAAAGAGCAGGGCGAGCTTTGAAGAAGGGGCAGAGGACAAGAAGTGTTGGCACCTCCTACAGCAAGCACTCAGACCAGCTCAACTGGGGCCCAACGTGTCACCCAAGGAGATCTATCCAATAACCTCAGGCTGCAGAATCTTGGTTTTTACCTTTGACAGTTTTGGAAACAACAATTCCATGGGTATAATTTGTCGGGGTGGTGGGCCCAGACTGCGACTGTCATTTTGTGCAGGTGTGGCCTAGGCCCCGCCATAGGAACCGTGTCAGGCTGTGCTCGCCCCACACTGTCAGGCCCTAGCAGGGTGTGCCCCCCAGGCTCTGACCAGCCTGACCTCCCCAGCTCTGATGGCCTCGCCCAGCACCTCCGAACCACGCCACGTAAAGGGCTGGAGGGTGGGGAAGGGTGGTGGTTGCAGGAGAGGCAGCAAAGTCTGCTCTTGTTTAGGTAGCTTATGATTTCAAATAGTGAAGTGAGGAAGTACGGTGTCATTAACCTTAAGCCCAAGCAAACTTTCTCTGGGCAAGCATGTGTGACTTAGCATTCTCAGGGCCTTTCTGTTCCCCACATGTTGGTCCTCACGAAGGTATATTGTTGCAATAAAGATGAATTCTAAACTGACCAAAAGTGCTGTGATTTCCATCTGCAGCAGGCCAAGCATAACCATGACTTATGTTTCCCAGTTTAGGTAGTTGATTCTTGTAAGTTTGACGGCGTCTTTATATTTCTGCTAGCTGCTTCTTTTCTTACAGCACCTTATGGTGAGGTCAGAAAGTGTGATCACAGTAATAATTCTCTCTGGAAGGTCCTACTGGGACCCCTTTGTGGTGTGACCTCAGCGGCCACCTCTCTGACAGGTGAGGAGACAGAGGTTCAGAGAAGGAGGCTAACTTGCCTGGGGACACAGAGCCAGTTGGTGGCCAAAACAGCACTGGGATTCAGTTGTCCTAACACCCAGTTTGGAAGGCTTTGCCTTGCACCGGCCCTTTTGTACACTGGAATATATTTTATTTTTAAATTTATTGGTGATACACAGAGCAAAATTGAAGGGGGTTTGCTCTAGTAATGCAATTCATATTTGTGAGCACAAGCCTTTGATGTATCTATAAGGCTGGGTGGCTTATATGTCTCTTTGGGGGGTCTTCTGTGACAAAGTCAGTTTGGGGGATAATTTAAGGTTATCTAATGTATCTGCCTCTTTCAGAAAGCTGAGAAAACCACTCCCTAGTTTTGAGGCCTTTGGAAACGAGAGGTCTTTTGGGTTTGTCTGGCATGTCATGTGAAGCAGAAGCATGTCACTACACTTGCTCTCTGTGACAGCTGAAGGATGGATGGGAAACTGACGGACATCTGATTGGTGACAACCAGTGCCCTCAGCATCAAAGCCTCAAACTGGTAATAAGGTTCTTCCTGACTTTACTGAAAGTTCCTGGAAACTCTGCTGGCTGCTGCTAGAGCTGGGATAACAGGGAGAGGGAATGCATGCGAGGCTGACTCAGTGGCAGGAATCTGGGGAATTAAGCTTGGCTCTGCAAGGAAATTAAGCAGAATTCATTAAAGCTGTGACAATTAAGGCAAAGGGAAAGACATTAATGCTGGATGATGGAGAGTCAGAAAGAAGGTGGACCAGCCGCTGCAAGCAATAACATCAACAAATAACCTACATCGGCTACTTGGGAAAGAAGATGAGGAAATGAGTGATGTTGTAGAAATATCTGAGTTCCCCACCAAATTACTTTATTAAATCAGTCTTTAATGAGGCCATTGCAGGGAAGCAGAATGGACTGGCAGCAGTAATGATGGCCATGTGGGTACAACTCTTGCTAAGAGAACGTTCTGACAATGAAGCGGAGATAAATCAGCAAGTGCGGGTTGTGTGTCTTCAGTTATTAAGGAATCAGTTAATGAATTCACCAAAGCTCGGGCAGTTACGTTAAAGGTGAGGGGAATGAAGGAAGTGATGCATTGATGGGGTTACTGATCTTTAAAGCGAAAGTTAAAGGAATTCAAGGAACCGTGAGCTGTTGTTAAACATGCCGGGCAATGTGAGGAGTGTTGCCCATGGTAATTGTCAGGTTGGAACTTAATGTTAAACGATGCAAAATTTTGAATGTGTTTTAATGATCAGCTGCAGGCCAGAATATGGCCATTTTTAAACATCTGGATCAGGCCGAAGAGCTGACAGTTTCACTCAAGGCAAGTGTCAATTTTCTGAGTCTCTATGGGTCTGTAGGAAAATTCCACGGGGCAAAAGCACTTCAGTACTCGAGAAAGGAAGCTTGACAGAACAGCCCCGAAGTCCGGTTGGCAAAGCCCAAACTGCATGTTCTCATTTAGTCCTACAGTCCTGCCAGTAGGCAACACAGCCTCAGTGTGCAGATGAGGAAACCGAGGCTCTGAGAAGTTAAGTGCCTTCCAAAAGGAATTAAACCACTGAGTGGTGAATTAAAGACTAATAAACGGAGGACTGGGGACGTTTTTCTGGCTTTAAATCTGGCACTCCTTCTATACCATGCTAGAAAGATTTTACTGGATGGAGACAGATATATTCTATGACTTAAAAACCCTGAGTGTTTTCAGCTTTGCAAATGCAGATGAAAATAATTAGTCTGAACAATGCTACACACAAAATAGAGCTGAAGATGGACTGATGGTTATTCTGTCTTGAAGAGAGTAAGGTCTACTTCGTACAAGTTTGCTGGAATATCCTGTCCTTTCCTGTCTCTGAGGGCCTACTGTGTGTGGGATTCTGAGAAGGGTGGTCACAGGGGAAGCAGAGAGACAGAGAGAGGCAGAGCGAGGCTAACGACCTACGAAGATGCTGAAGGCCCACAGACACATGAGAAGACGAGAGCACAGGCTACACCTCGATGGCAGAACAAAGTCCAGAAAGGAACGTGACAAAATGCCATCTCTATGTGGTGGGTTCAGAGTGATTTAATTTGCTTCCTTTTGTTTCTGTGTACTTTATAAATCACCTACGATGAACAAATATAGTTTTAATTTAGGAAACATTTAATAAAAGCATAAGGCAAGACATGAGCTTGTGGACAAGCTGTGCCGACTGGGGAGTGGAGGGTGTGGGCATCGGGGGCGGGCCGTCTGGAAGGAGCAGCGGGGAGAGGGGAGTGGCGTGAGGTGGAAGTGCAGGTGGCCTCAAAGCGCACAGGGCTAGGAGGGCGGTTGAGGTCGGACTTTGAAGAACTTTACAGGATAGTCTAGTTCAGGAGCCTGGGGCCTGGGGAGCCTAGGGCTGGGGAGTTCCAGAGGCAGATGGAGCTGCCTGGGCTGGGGCGGGTGGCAGTGGGAATGCTTGGGTGGTGAGGGCTGCAGGGTGGACTGATGGGGAGTGGAGGGGTTGGTGTGCACCCTGCCCTGGTGGCCTCTGGGGCTGTGGTCTCAGGGGCAGGCCTTGGAAGCAGGGGAAGGAAAGAGCATGAGGGTCAGAGCAGCATGGGGGCCAGGCATATGGTGTGGGGTTGAGGGTGGGAGGCAAACATCCGGGGGTCAGTCCTGGAATCGGTAGTGTGTATAATCTAATGGAGTAGGACACCTTGTAGCCACCTGTGAGGCATGAACTCATCATCTCTTCCTGCCTGTGGACTCTAAGTATTTGTTGCCACACTTCATTTGATGACTCACCACCTGCAGTCCTGGGGGGCTGGTCTCTGGGTGGTGAGAAGACCCTCTCCCATAGGCCTGCGGGGACAGTGGACAGCAGTGCATCCCTCCCCTGGGACAGGGACTTCTCAGTGGCCCGTAGGACTGGCTGAGTGTTTCCTGGGAAACCCAGTGGACTTCAGAGAGCAAGTGCAAGAAGCTGCAGGGATTAGCAGAGCTTCCCTAGCCGTGAATTTCTCTTGAAGTCACCCAGAACCAGCAATGGTGACTCCAAACACAAATGGTTTCCTCATCAGCCAGGCAGCTGCTCTCACCCACCTGGGCGACCTGGCCAGGTGCTCACTCTCAGAACAACGAAAATGGAGCCCAAAGGCTCCAGGAGAGACATTGATTGCTTCCTAGTTATTCAGCTTTTCCAACCGACAAATCTTTCTGGGTAGAAGATTTTTTTGTTTCCCCTGAGAGGGGGCCCCTGAGCCTGACTTGAGAACAAGCCTTTCCCAGTCCCCTTGGCATCAGCAGCCACTGTCCTCCCGTTCCCAGATCTGCCATTCTTCTAACCTTCAGCTGCAGGGATGGGAGAAGGTGGAAAAAGGGCCCTTTGTAACCAAATTATTTTTGTGCATTCATCTGCCATTATGTTAATGCATCTCGAAGCCCAGCAGATGGTACAAAGTCAATTATGCTGGTGTTAAAATGGGAGAAATTGACCTTTTCAGGACTCACTTGGATTCCAGAGCAGAGTTTGCAAACTCAGGTTTCAGGCTGGCATATGGGCAAAGGCACACGGCACTGTGGAAGGGAGGAGGGATGGGTGGGGGCGGTCGGCCCTGGGACTGCCTGCCTGCCTGCCTTTCATAGGACCCCTCTGGTACCTGCACATCCTCTCAAAGAGCCCGGCATAGCCATCACAGTTGGTCTTCTGGGTCCGCAGAATGTTGCTGGGTTTGAAGGCCTGGCGGTCCTTCTCCTGGGCAGCCTCAATGTCGTACTCTGGAGGGCAGAGTAGGAAGCCGTGAAAAACCAGGTCCTGGGAGGCCACAAAGGCAGGTACAGAGTGTGTGTGGGGTCCACAGCCCTGTGGCATGGCCCCTGCCCTTGGTGGTGCTTTTGGCAGCATTTGAGCTGGGCTCTCTGGGGCCTGGGAGAAGCACTGTGGGTGGGGGGCTCCGCCCACATGTTCCTCCCACCACACAGCTCTGTAGGCCCTTCCAGTGAGGCTGCTCCTGTCCCCCTTTGGCCCCCAAAGCAAAGGCCTCACATTGACCCACAGGGGGTGCACTGAACTTCGTCAAAGCTAGCCCCAAGTGGAGAAGAGTGCTCTCCTACAGCCTGTTACTTCCCTAACGAGAGAGCCTGAGGCCTGCGGTGAGGCCCTGAGGCACAGTGGCCACTGAGGGCACAAAGGATGTGTGTGTGTGCTGTGTGCCTGCATAGTAAAAATGTCCCTCCAAATATTCTGTTTCTGATTCCGCCCCCTTAAGGCCCAGGCTGAACTGCTGAGGTTGGGGCAGGGAGCAGGTGGCCCCCTGCCTGTGTCAAGTGAGTCCATCCTAAGCTGTATCTCTAACCTCTGCTTTGGGAAGACAAAGGAAAAGTCCAGTGGTAGCAGGTCGGGAGAGCCCCCTGGTTGTTATATCACAGGGAAAACACTAACAATCCCCCACCATCCGGTACTTCCATCGACTGCAAAGGGCAGCACCCAGCATCCTCTTCACCACCACCTATGGGGCTTGGCTTGACCTGGTCGGACTCCCAAGCTCGTCCAGTAAGGGGCCGTAGGTGGTTGTACAGACCTAGGTTCCCTGAAGTGGCCCTGAGAACCTGGAGACTGGGCTGAGACTGGTGACCGAAGTCGCCAGTGCGGGTGCAGGAGCAGGCAGAGGAGAGTCCACCCTTCCTGGCATTGCTGCCTTGAGCCACCTCTCCTGGCAACAACTTTTCAAGCAGCTATGACTCCTCCCTAACAGGTGGTCATCATTTTTTGAGATGACCTTTTGTCCTGCGTTCTCATGTCTCTAGAGCAGGCTTACCAGGAAGCCAGGACTGAAGGAAGGAGGCTGCTGGGTGAAGGGCCTCTGCTCTGGCCACTGCTGTGGGCGGAGAGCCATGGGGGACCCCCCTATTCCAATCCAATGACCCTTTGTGGAGACTGTTGGCACATGATGACTTTCACTCTGCTTAGTCTTAGGCTATTCCATCTGGGAGCCTCTGCCTCATCTTTCGTCTCATTCCACACTCAGTGGTGATGGGTGAGTCCCAGGGATACTGCCCTGGGAACAGGGGTCTGCAAGGAGCGGCATCGAGGGGTCCTAGAACGAGTAACCCCATAGGCGACCCTACCTATGTGGTGGCAGATCCAGATCCAGATGGCACGGACCCTCTCCAGGTCACTGTGGGCCTCCTGGAGCAGGTCGTCCATCAGCTCGTCTAGGCCACTCTTGACCGTCACCTGGAGCGGGGAGGGGTGTGTTGTGTCAGGGCCTGGACGAGGGCTGTGGGGAGCCCAGCGCCCTCCCACCTGAAGCCAGTGCTGCCTTTCTTCCAGGCAGAGAAGGAGGAGGAGACGTCCAGAGGGACAGAGGCTGGGCCGAGAGCAACCCTCAGTGGGCGGGGCTGGACGTGGTGGATAGTGCTGACCAGCTGCTCACTGCTCTAAAACAACTACATCTCTTCTTTGCAGATTTTGGGGCCAGCTAGGTGGGCACTGGGGGGATGTAGCAGCATCTGGTGATGGTCAATACTGCCCAAAGCAATCTACAGATTTAACACAATCTTATAAAATTCCAACATCCTTATCTTGCAGAAATGGAAAAGTCAATCCTCAAATTCATATAGAATTCCAAGGGGCTGGAATAGTCAAAAGAATTCTGAAAAAGAGAACAAAGTTGGAAGTCCCACATTTCTGTATTTGGAACTTACTACAAAGCTACAGTAAATCAAAATAGTGTGGTACTGATATAAGGATATCACGCAGACCAATGAAATAAAATCGAGAGTCCAGAATAAACTCATAATACATCTATGCCTGACTGACTTTTGACAGGGTGCTAAGTCCTTTCGATAACGAAAAGAATTAACAAATGGTGTTGAACAACTAGATACCCACATGCAAAAGAATAAAGCTGGACCCTACCTTACACCATATGAAAAATGAACTCAAAAAAGACAAGTGACCTAAACATAAGAACTTAAAATAAAAAACTCTTGGAAGAAAACACAGGGTTAGTAAATCATCATCACCTTGGATTTGGCTATGGACTCTTAGACATGATAACAAAAGCATAAGGTACAAAAGAAAAAATAGATTAATTGGGTTTCATAATAATAAAAAACCTGTGCATCAAAGAACATTACTAAGAAAGTAAAAAGACAACTTGCAGAAAGAGAGAATATATTTACAAATCATATATCTGATAAGGGTTTAATACCCACAATAGTATATAAAGAACTCCTACAACTCAACAAAAACAAAAACAAAAAACCCAATTTTAAAATGGGCGAAGGACGAATATACATTTCTCCAAAGATATATAAATGTCAAATAAGCACATGAAAAGATGTTCAACATCATTAGTCATTGGGGAAATGCAAATCACAACCACAAAGAGGTACCACTTCACACCTACTAGGATGGCTATAGTCAAAGAAATAGACACGAAGTGCTGGCAAGAATGTGGAGAAGTTAGAAAGAACCTGTATGTTCTGGTGGGAATGTAAAATGGTGCAGCTGTCGTGGAAAACAGTTTGGCAGTTCCTCACAAAGTTAAACAGAATCGCCATACGATCCAGTAATTCCGCCCTTCCGCACATACACAAAAGAACTGAAGGCAGGGTCTGAAACAGATGCTTGTTCACAAACGTTCGTTGTGGCATTACTCACAGCAGCTAAAAGGTAGAAGCAACCCAAACGTCCATCACAGATAAGTAAAACGTGATAGATCCATACAATGAAATTATTATTCATCCATTAAAAGGGATGAAGTTCTGCGATGTGTTGCAACATGAACTTTGAAAAGGTGACTCTAGGTGAAATAAGCCAGCCATAAAAAAGGCATGTTATCTGAGTCCACTTACATGAAATATCTAGAATGAGTAAATTTAAAGAAACAGTGAGTAAACGAGAGGTTATTAGGGGTTTGGGGGAAGGACAATGGGGAATTATTGCTTAACGGGTAGACAGTTTCTGATTTTGGAAGTAGATGGTGGTGATAGTTGTATAACATTGTAAGTGTAATTAATGCCACTGAAAAATTATTGAAATGGTGATTTTATGTGATATATATTTTGCCACAGTTAAAAAAAGAAAGGAAGCAATTGGTTTTTCTCACAGGGCTCTCAGGAGGAGTCAGAGTTGGGGCTGTGGGAGAGGCAGCCCTGACCCTACTCAGTCTTCCCAGGGAAGCCGGGGCAACTGAATGCTCAGTGAGGCCCTCGTTGCCCTCACCTCCCTCACCCCGCACTAGGGCGCTCCTTGACCTGTTCTTGCTGGAACTGTTCCACTGCTCACATCAGAACTCCAGGACCCACTCTTTGACCACAAGGGGACCCCAGGGCCCCTCTTCCATCTTTACTTGCCCTGTTGCTGCTTCTTTTTCTTCCAGGTCCAGGTCTAACTCCACAGTCCTCGTCTTTGACCCCCTCCCAGGGTCTAGAACATACTGCAGGCCCACACTATGGCCTGGCTGACTGCTGATTTAACCCACAACTTCAGTCCTGAGGTTTCTGGTCTACTGGTCCCCACCCGTGCCCTCCCTGGGCCTGGCTGCCTTGGGCCATCTACCATTCCCTGGCTGTGTCTCTGGCCTCAGCAGGGCTCCTGCACTGCTTTCCGAGCCTGGCCAGCAGCCTATAGGTGACCTCCCAGCTTACCAGCCTAGGTGCTCACTCTGACGTCACCAGCAGGTCCAGCTCCTTGGCCTTGCCAATCAAACTCTGTGGTGAGGGTCCTGCTTGGCTCCCACGACCTTGGTGTGCCCCTGGTGCCTTAGCTCTTATAGCTGCTCCTCTCCTATCCCATGCCACTTGTGCCCAGGCCCAGAGATGTGAGAGCTTAGTAGCCTACGTGCTCAAAGGATGAACTTGGCTAAGGTCACAGTGGGAGCTGGCCATCTGCCTCTGGTCCTCCCCTACCCCTTTGCTCCTTTCCTTCCTGGGCTGGGGCTGGCATAGCTCAGTAGTAGTAATGCCCAAATGGACAGGGAGAAGGCAGGACAGAGCTGGCCATAGGGGCCTGCCACTGGGGTGGCTGCAGGGTATGCAGCCTTTGGTGGGAGTCACAGTCATGGGTGGGGTTGGGGGGATGGAATGGCCTTTCTGTCCCCCATCCATACACTGTAGAAAGGCACTCTGAGCCATCCATCCACAGGACTCAGGATACATTTGGGAGGGGCTGGGGGGAAGGCTGTGCTACTCTGCCCCGAAGAACTTTAAGCCACACTGAGGGACCTGTAGGCAGAGGGGCAGCTCTCCTACCTGTGAGGCATAGGCATCCAGTTTCTCAAACTGCCGCAGGTCCAGGGACATGGATTTCAGGCTGGACCGATCCCAGGGGTAGGCTGGAAACACAGGGAGGCTTGGTCAGCTGCTGACACCGGCAGGTGAGGGCCGCCCGGCTCAGGGCTCCCTGTCTTTTTGAGAGGCTGTGACTGCCCAACCTTCAACATGAGTCCCAGAGCTGAAAACTCCGCTCCCAGCAGCTATTATCTCCTGGTAAAGTTCTTTAGTCAAATTGGTTTGGGAACTATGGCAACTCCCCTAGTCCTCTTGGAGATTGACAGGGAACATAAGCCATTTGCCGACCCTGTGAAACCATCAGTAAGAAACTGGTTTCACCTCAATTAACTCAGTGGTCCCCGGACAGATTGATGATGAAATTCCCTTCTCCCCACCATTTAGTTTTCTGCAGAGTTCCTGCTAACTTTTCTAGGAAAGAATGCTCTGCGGGAAGTGTCCAGGCAATGCTGCGCGCCCCCAGTGAGCTCGACGGAGGGTCTGCGCCTTGGCTATGGTGCCGCCGAGCATTCTGGGTGTGGGAAGAGGGCATCACAGAGCCCTGTCATCTGGGCCTCTGTAGGTTGAAGTGGGTTTAACATCCAGACAGGCTTTCTTTCTCCCTTGCCCCTGGTGAGCTGGAGCCTGGAGCACCCCAAGAAAGCCCGTGTTCTGATAACAGACACCCAAGGTACTGTGGAGAGGCTGTGCCCCAGAATCACTCGCATGTGTCCAGCCTTTCTCATAGGAAGCCGGGGCACAGGACAGGCCCAGTAAGACGCTGTAGGACTAAATGACCAGTGGTGAGATCCACTGATGGATGGGCAGCAACCCCCCATCCTAGCCCAGAAGAGACTGCACTCTGGTAGGATCTTCTTATTCAAGGTCTCCTGAGACAAGCTGACCAAAATCAGGCACGCTGGGTGGGAGGGCAGGGAGGGGGTGAGAGGCGGGTGGGGCCATCGATCCCCTGACTCATGTGGACTCAGCCCACTCTCACCTGGCCATCCCACAAGCCTCCAAGTGTTGGGTGAGGAGGGGATGCTGGTGGGATGCCAGGGGGCAGCTGCAAGCCCAGGAAGAGTTGAGCGATGTGGGGAAATGCCTAGTGGGGTGGCACAAGGCACGGATTCTAGTTGGGGTCCAACCTCCACCTCACCGGGGGGTGCTGGGCTCAGCCTAGGGGCCCCAGGCATATATCTATGGGGCACCTGGGGGGGGGTGAATGAGATGATGGATCACATTGTAAGGTCAGTGTCACTCTGCTCCTGGAGGGTGCAGGACGAGGGTCCTCTGCAGGCAAGGGCAGGAGAGTAGGTATGAAGCCTCTGCCCTGTGCACTTGCCCACACATCCCACAGGGCTGTGAGCACCCTGAACCCTGGTGCTACAGACCCAAGAGGTGTGGTGAGAGGGTGAGGACAGGGTATCACCACCAGATCCGGCCCGAGCTGCTCCATGGCCCTCTCCGGACAAGAGGCTGTGCCGGCTGGTTGGGCGGCTGGTCAAGGTGAGCTGTCAGGAGCAGGCCGCGTGGATCCTTCTGTGTTTTCCGTTGCTCCAAGGCCCCTTTCTCTCAGGAACCTGGCCTTCCTCCTTCCCGACTCCAGGCTGGATCCAGCACCTTCCCCAAGGCCGCCCCACTCTGCTCCCTGCCTCCCGCTGTCACACTGCAGCAGTCCCTGGGGGGTTTGGTCCTTTTGGCCGCAAGCCTCTGGCTGGGTTCTCACCAGATCACGTGCTCTGACATCCAGGATCCGAGGGCTCCTCCTCTTCTAAGAGGGGACAGGACACACAGCAGGCAGGCAGGCAGGCTGTGCAAACCCTACCAGGAAGCTGTGGCCTCACCCAGCAGCCTAGCATTTTCTGCCTTCTGCTCCTTCTGAAAGGACTAAGACACTCCCTGGAGCCCGCACCTCAAATCCTGCTGCCCAGCACCATCGTGCTCACCGCTCTGGTGCCAGAGCTGGGATTTCTTGTCTCCCCTCACTCAGGTCACCAGCAGTCCCTGTCCCTTGTGGCCTGAGTGAAGCCCTGGCCCAGCCAGCCCCGCGGAAGGGCACGGGGCCGTGGTGGCAGGCCCTGCTGAGCTTCCCTCTCCTCAGTGCCCTGTCCCTCCCTCCGTGGAATCTGGCTCCTGCCGCTGTCTGACAGGGGCCGTCAGGGTGACCTGAGTGTGTGTGAAGGGGACCTACACGTTGAACAATTTCTGCTCAGGATGGCTCTGCAGATGAGGTCTCCCTGTCCCCATTTAGAAGAGAGATGGCGTTTCTAACATCAAACCGAAAACCCTATTACTGGTTTTACCCTTTCTGGGTTCTATTTTACAATACCCAAGCATTAAAATTACCTGTAATGATTTATGCCTCATTAAGCTTACCTTCTGAGCAGATTATATAAATCCAAATATAATTTTGCACAAATAACTTAAAATACCAGTGGTATTAACTAAAATATTCTATATTTTAAGCAAAACGATGGATAGAAGGGCCAAGCCGTACCAAATCTTAGGTGACATCTGGTCTTCTGAAGGGGAAACCGAGGCACATGAGAAACAAAAGCAGGATTCAATCATGTGATCTGGCTGTCTATCACCCCATTCATGTGATCTGGCTGTCTATCACCCCATTCATGTGATCTGGCTATCACCCCATTCAGGGTTTCTTTCTCTGGCCCACTCTGTTTATTTGCATGTCTCCAATCTTACAGGTGATTGGCATTTTATTTGGCGTTCACACAATTCTAGATTCTCATTTTAATATCTTTCCCATAATGGCTGCCGTGTTATTGGTGGGGTTTGTGCTTTAGCCTTGGGCTCACAGCTGGTGTGTGAGCTTTTCACTTCTCCCTCTGTGTCCATGGCAGATATCGCTCATCAATTGCGATACTCCTCCCCTGTTGAGCCCAGAGGTGGCCCCAGACTCTCATCCCAGTGACCCAGGGAGGCATTTTCAATTGACTGAAGATTGTCCATGAGGTTAAATCAATTCCATGTCTCAGGGAACCGCCCTGGAGAAGACCCTGCAACTTACCGTGGGCATCTTTCCCTCCAGGCTGCCGGGGTCTTGTGTTTCCATTTTTATCGCCTTGTAAACCTACAATATCCCAAAGGTCAAGAGGTAAAGACACTTCAGAAGAAACAGAAATGCAAGCGCAGACAATTCTCTGTGTGGTGGTCCTTGCTTCTGGCCCCTCCCCTTCACTCTCCTCAGAGTCTTCTTTCTCCCATCCTTGCACCCCCCAAAGTGCTGCTGGAATCGCCCTGGACTTCCTGGTGGGGCAGAGGGAGGACTGGGAACCAGGATGGATGACAGGAGACACCTGCTGCCTGAGAGCAGAGGTAGCGTTTCCTCTGACAGCAGCACTGGACTACTGAGTGGGCTCGCCTGGAGCCCGCTGCTCCTGCGCCCTCCACATGCTCCTGCTGTCCTGGAACACAGCGGGGGGTGCTGAGAGCATCAGCAAACTCATGCCACATAACCCCAGACTGGAACTGACCGTGGACAGACATGAAAGTGGGGGGAGGGGAAAGCTGGTTTGTATGGAGCTGAACTCCAGAAAGGCCAAGCAATTATTAAATTACTCCCTGGGAAGGCTCAAGAGCAACCAAATCCTGTAAATCCAGGACCATCAAGGCAGAATGGTCACCAGCAGTTGTTTGACTCCTTGGGCAACAGGAGAGGAACTCTGCCTGCTGATCTGAAGACAGGTCAGGAAGATGTGGGTCCCTGATGGAACCAGGAGGAGCTGGGGGGGGCAGGGCGGTGCCAAGACAGGTTGTTTACTGCCCTTGAAGCCCACTATAGTTGTCAATGTAACAACAGAAAGCTGTAGATGTGTGTAGGCTGTTCTGAGTAACTGGGCCTTTTCTTGCACCTACATTTTCTTTCCATCAGCTTTCTTTGGTAAAATAATGGGGGCTGAAAACAGGAGGGAAAATTTCTTATGTATTTACTATGCCTGGCTTGTGCTTTATTTTGACTGTCTCACTTAACATCACAAGAATCCTATGAGAGGCACTGAATTATTTTCCTCCTTTTATAGGTGAGAAAATTGAGTTCAAAAGAGAGGCTCAGTCTTGCCCAAGGTCACAGGGCTGAGATGCGAACCCAGCCAGGTGACTGCCAGGGCCTGTCCTCTCCACACTTGACTGCCCTCCTGAGACCCTGACTGCTGAGTGCTGCGGGATCGGGTGGACCTGGAGGGTCTGCACTGGCCCACTGAGTGGACTCGGAGAGAACCTGAGCCTTGGCTGCTCTGCAGCCTCTGTTCCTTGGCTGGCATTTCCCTAAGCCCTTTTTAGCCACAAGATGGACGGATGCAGGGAGAAGAGCAAACAGGGAGAGGAGACATCGTGAGCCTGGGCCTGGGCCTGTGCGCTACACAGAGGCCAGCCAGGCACGGTGGGTGAGAGCACAGGCCTCCGTTGGACCTGGGTTCTGACCCTCTTCCTTGCTGGTCGCTTGGGCGGTTTTTTCATTTTGCTGATGTAAAAAGTGGGTATAATACTGCTATATGTCAAAGGGTTAAAAATGAATGAATGTAAAAAACAGCAATACACATGCTACTTTTTAGACACTCAGTAAATGATATCTAAAAACAACTCCTGTGATGAAATTTACCTTTAGCTAAATGCCTTGTTTACCCATGTCTCATGTAGACACTAAAGAACAGAGACTCCTGGGCGTGGGGAAGAAAGAGACCCTTAGCATGAAGCTGTCATACCTTTGCCTCTTTCCAGCGTGTGGGCCCAGGTCAGTGCTCTCCTGTCCCAAGCAGGTGCCCAGGCTGGGCTCTGTGTGGCCCATTAAGTTTCCCTCCATCCTCCCTGACAGCCCTCCACACACGAGCAGCCCTATACGTACGTACGTTTAGCCAGGGAAAACTTCTTGAGCATCTGGGGCATGGCGTCTCGAGGGTGGACCTCCACAGTCAGCTGTGTCCCTGTAAGGGAAGAGGAGGGGGCGTTCTCATCCAGATGCTACTAGGAAATGGAGCCATGTCTCATAGCAGATGTTTGAACAACAAAACACAATTGGTTTTAGAGCATTCTCTTGTTTAAAATGAAAAACAAGCAGTTTCCAGATCTAGGCAAGACTGAGTAAGCAGATTCCACCTTTCCTCTCCCACTGAATGCAACTAAACACCTTGGAAAGAAAGCAGGGGGCAACTATTTGAGGACCCTAAAGTAAATGATAAAAGAAATATTGGGGAAGAAGATTAGAATTTAAAGCATCTTTAAATTGGCAGTGAGTTTACCACCCCCTTCCCCCCAGTGGTATTACTTAGACTGGACTCAATGCAGCCTGAGGCCCAGTAGTGCTCAGTGGGTGCAGAGAAAAAACACTCCAGGAGAAGCCCTTTCATCTGGCCCGTGGAGTGAGAAAGAGAACCTCTAAGAGTAAGAGAATAGGGGACACCCTGTTGTCCCGCCATTTCCATTTTCTCCTCACTCAGCCCTCAGGAAATTCTATTGGTAGCAGTTTGGAGTGATTTCAGTGGCCAGATAGACAGACATCTGAGTCTTTGAGAGAGGGCATCAGAGAAGCTACGATTCCCGGGAGTGCGGGGACAAATTTCATTGTTTTCTCCCCCTCCCTGTTCTCACCGATTGGCTCCAGAAGCAGACGCAGTTGTGAGAAGTGCCCGGCAGAGTAGAACAACTAAAGCCCCAGCTTTCTGGCCAGAGGACTGGAAAGTGGGCTCTGGAGAGGAGGGAGCTCAAGGAAGCAAATCCATAAAGTTATGAATGAACTCTTGTGGTCACCTCTGAATTGCGCATGCTTGGATCTCATCCTAAATATCATACCAGGATCCCCGAGAACTCAACTGTGGGCTAGACCAGTTCTCAGGTGAGCCACTGGGTGGAGCATGTGCGGGACAGATCTGTATAGCAGGGCAAAGGTTACAGTCCAACATTACTCCTCAGCATAGGAAGACCTAGGAAAACCTCAACTTGAAAAGGAAAAGCTAATGAACAGATGCTAGTGCCACGATGACACAGATTTTGGAAATATCAGCCAAAGACTTTAAAACAGCCGTGCTCAAAAAAGTGAGGGCAAACAGTCTTGAAGTATATGTAAAAATACAAAATATCAGCAGAAAATAAAAGATATAAAGAAGAAACAAATGTAACGTTTAGAGCTGAAAAATATGGTAGTTTAAAAAATTCTCCGGAAGTGATCACTGGCGTAATAGAGATGATGCAGGAAAGGTTCAATGAACACAAAGATGGATTAACAGAAATTATCCAATACGAACAAAAGTAAACAGAGCCTCAGGGACTTGTGGGACAACACGTGAAGACTGAACACTCATGTCACTGAAATACCAGAAAGAGAGGAGAAATAGTGTGGGGCAGAAAAAATATTTAAAGAAATTAATGAGAGAGTAATCAGTGAAACCAAAAGCTGGTTCTTTGAAAATACCAGTAAAATTGATACAAAGAATGAAGACACTGATATCAGAAATGAAATGGGTGATAGCACTACAGACCCCATATATACTAAAATAACAATAAAGGAATACAAACAACTCTGTGCACGTTAATTCTACAACTTAGATGAAATAGACCAATTCCTTGAAAGTGACAAACTACCAAAACTCACCAGAGAAGCAGATAACCGGGATGTTCTTCTATCTGTTTCTGAAACTAAATTCGTAGTTCATAATATTCCAAAAGCAAGCAAGCAAGCAAACAAACAAACAAACAAATGCCAGGTCCAGGTGTTTCACTGGAAAATTCTAACAAATAGTTCAAAAGAAATAGCACCAGTTTTCACAAGATCCTTCAGAAAATGAAAGAATAGTGCATGTTCCCTACTCATTTAATGAGACCACCATTACAGAGTGATGTAATGCTATATTAAGACAGCATAAGAAAAGAATGCTATAGACCTATATTCTTTATGAACACAAAAGTCCTCAACACAATATTCGGAAATTAAATACAGTTATATAGTAAAAGGATAATACATCACAAGCAAGTGTGGTTCATTTTGGGAAGGGAAGGCTGTTCAATATTTGACAACCAATAAGTCTCATTCACCATATTAGCAAGCCAAAGAAGAAAATCATGTGACAGTATCAGTTAATGCAGAAAAAGAATTTGTCAAAATTGAACATCTATTCATAATAAAATCTCTTGACAAGCTATGAGTAGAAGGGAACTTCCTTAATCTGACAAAGGGCATCTACCAAAATTCTACAGCTCATGCGTATTCAGCAGTGAAAAGTGGCCTTCTTTTCCTCTGGGGCTGGGAATGAGATGTGGATGTCCACTCTCATTGCGCCTGATAAACATTGTGCTGGTGGTCCTACCTAGTGCAATAAAAGAAGGAAAAACTTCAGATAGTTGGGAAAGAAGAAATAAAATTTTCCTTATTCATAGTCTGCAAAGAAAAGCTCACATAATCTATAAGTGAAGTTCCAAGAAGTAAAAAGGTTAGCGTGGTCACAGGACACAAGATCAGCACCCCAAAATTAACTGTATTCATATTGCCAATAAATGATTGAAAGTTGAATTTAAAAAATTGCTATTTTCCATAGTTCCAAAAATTGAAACACTTAAGTTTAAGTTTTGAAAAAAAAGGTACAAGAACTGTGTGCTGAAAACTACAAAATATGATCACACAAATTTAAAAAACTTTAATAAGTGAGGAGACGTACCACATTCAGGAACTGAAAGACTCAATATTGCCAAGTTAGTCTTCTCCCTAAACTGACCTGTAGATTTAATGCCATTTCAATCAAACTGCTTGGGGAAATTTTGAAGACTGTAGATATAGACAAGATGATTCTAAAATCACATGAAAAGATATAGCCACTAAAGAAGTAAAACCAATTTTGAAAAGAAAGTTGGACTCCAACTATCTGATTTTAAGATGTACTATAAGCTACAGTAATCACTACAGTGTGATAGTAGCAAAAAGGTAGATCTATGGACCCATGGGGATAATGAAGGGTTAAGAAACAGCCACACAAATATGGCAAACTTCCTTTTTTGCAAAAGTGCAAAGACAATCCAACTAGAAAATGGGTGAAAGAACAGATATTTTACCAAAACAGAAATGGCAAGCAAGTACCTAAAAAATGTTCAACATGACTAACCATTAGAGTGCAAGTTAAAATCGTAATGAAATATCAGACTTATTAGAGGAGCAATAATAAAAATAGAGATAATACTATACGCTGACGAGGTTGTGGAGAAACTGGATCTCTCACACATTTCTGGTGGTGGTGTAAAATGGTATGGCCATTCTTGAAAACAGTTTGGCAGTTTCTTATAAAACAGAACATGGACTTAAATATAACCCAACTACTGTACTCTTGGACTTTTAACCCATAGAAATGAAAATTTATGTTCACACAAAACCCTCTACACAACTGTTTACATGAGCCCTATTCATAATCACTCCAAACAGGAAATAACCTGAATGTCCTTCGGTGGGTGAATGGATAAACACCCTGCGGTACATCCATTTAAGGACTAATTTCCAATAATACTGAGAGACTCTGAGGACTGATGGGAGGATGTGATTGCAAAGAATCTGCATGAGATATGGAAATGGAAAATCCAAAGTCAGAGTATAGTAAGCTTGCTTTTTGTAACCTGCTTTCTCTACCTGTCTTTACATGTCAGTGAATATAATCATATGCCATCATTTTCATGGCTGCATGGTACTCTGTTCTATAGATGGTTCATACTCTGTTTAAGCAATTCCTTTTTCATTGGACAGTTAACTTTTCCCAAATGTTTTGCTATTCTAAACAGTGATGTCATGAACATTCTGATACACACCCCTTCACATACTTTTCAAATCAGTAACTTCGAACAAATTCTTAGGCATTGATCAAAAGGTATGAAGATATTTAAGGCTTTTATTAGATACTGACAACCTTTATTCATGAATGATTTTATCAGTTTATGATCACACCTACAGAGCAAGGAAATGTCCATTTTGCTCATTCTTGCTGTTTGATGATAAAATTGGCCATAGTACTTTGTACTTCCTCCTACCAAGAGATCTTTCAGGATGGGCCTTATGGCTTGGTTTGGCCAGTTGGCCTGTGGCAGAAGTGATGTTATGCAGGCTCTGAGCCTGGGCCTCAAGACACTTTGCCACTTCTGCTTTCATTGTTGGGATTCCAGCCACAACTGCCATGTGAATGAGCCCAGGCTGCCCTCCTGGAGGGTGGGAGACCACATGGAGCAGAGTTGAGCTATCTCCAGTGAGGCCAGCTTAGACCAGCAGGTTCCAGCCAACTCTCCAGCTGACCACAGCACCTGAGCAGGCGCAGCCAGGACCCACGGTCAGCTGGGTGTGGCTCAGACCAGAATGCCCAGACAGACCATAAGCTGGTAAATGCTTACTGTTTTAAGCTGCTGAGTTTTGGAACGATTTGTAATGTAAAAAAATACAGCTCAACTGCCTTCATCCACACTTGATTTTTATCAATCCTTTAACTTTTTATCAATGGATAATGACATTTCGTTGTTTTCGTGTATTTCTTTAATTTTTAATCTAGTATGTTTCATATACTTATTTGCCACTCTAAATTGTTATTTTGTGGATAGCGTAGTTTCCTACTGATGTATTATTTTTTCCTTTCTACTTTTGTAAGAGCTCTTTTGATGAATGCTTTGCCTGCTAAATGTGTTACAATTATTTTTCACAGAATAACAATACTGACTTTCTTGTACAGCTCATAAAGTTGCTCTGCATGCCAAAGACAGTAATTCTCAGACAATTTAAAAAGATGCAACATGGCCTCCTGAGGCACTACTTTGAAGAGGTTAACATTCATTTTGAGTATAGTTTCTAGAACATTCATTTTCAAAGAAAATCAGCCTTTGGCTTTATAATGATGACTTTAAGCATTTCAGGGTTAAAAGCACGATCTGGTTCTGGTCTTCAGCTCGGGTGCCATTGCCCTCAGCAGCC